TATTAAAATACCTCCAAAAATTGTACCCATAAATCCAACAATTAACTTACCGCCAAGTCAATACATCTGCTTACAAACCTTAACAAATTATTTAGGCCCGCGAGATGGATCGCATTATCCTTTTTTTTTTATCACGGGTCCAGCTGGTACTGGCAAATCATATATAATACACATTTTGTTAGATTATTTTCAAAAATCTAATCAAAACTGTCTTCTTATGGCTCCAACCGGAATTGCTGCCCAAAACATTGGTGGTTCCACTATCCACTCTGCCCTACGAATTATTCGTAATGAATTCGGCTTCCGTACACTTACATTCAGAGATCCCAACCACATGAATTCCCTCTCCCAAATAAACACTATCATCATTGATGAAATTTCAATGGTATCAGGTCAACTTCTGACCTTCATCTCAGAATTATTCGAATCATTACATAAGAACAATTACCCGTTCGGAGGAATTAACGTTATCTTAGTCGGTGACTTAGCACAACTACCTCCAATTAGCGGTTCTCCCGTTTACCAATCACCCTTGTGGAAACTTTTTTATCCATTATTTCTTCGCGAGCCTCAAAGGCAAATTGAAGATATAGAATTTTACAATCTTCTACAAAAAATTAGACTAGGAAACATCGACAACCAAACGTGGAATATATTACTATAAAAACAATCCGAATCAGTTTCTTCTAATTCATATGCAAACTTAAACACAACACATATTGTAGGTTACCGAGAAAACGCTGGTACCATTAATAGAATAATATGTACAATGCTTCCTACTCAAGAAAATAAATTTATGATCTCTAATTGCATTGATACTATTAACAACCATATTTGTAATGATAATTCAAGACAACGCGATTTTAAAAACAAAACAAATTTACCTAAAACACTCAGAATCCAACCTGGTGCGAGAGTCATGTTTTTAAACAATTCGCAAAGTCACCATCGTATAGCCAACGGCACTATAGGTATCGTAACAGACCTCGACCTAGAAACAGGTATTATCTGTGTTAGTTTCTGCATCGAAGGTGCCATTATAGACACTTCTTTCTCCAAAATCACTACCAACTTTGATGTTAATGGCTTACCTGCAAGCCGTACCCAATATCCCATACAAAATGCTTTTGCATTAACAGTCCATAAAACACAAGGTCTAACGCTTCCAGATGTATCTTTAAACCTAGACAATCAGATATTCGAATCTGGTCAAGCTTACGTGGCCCTAAGTCGTTGCACTAAATGGGGCAACGTAAAAATACAATCCTTAGATCGTGCCGCTTTTATAACAAGCTCTTCCATGATCAAAGAATATGATCGATTAGAACTTATGGCTCGTGAACCACTACCACTAAACTCTACCATACACAATTCAACTTAATCCCTCACCTCATCAGTCTACAAAAATCATCATTACCCCAAAAAAAACAAGAATTACCCTACCCTAGCATATTGTTCCTAACATATCTCCTCTATTCTTACCTATTATTTTTTACTTTACTTTTATATTAAAAAACATGTATATTAATACTACAATATTACTTATAATAAAAAATCATTAAAAAACACATACCATAATTAATCGATAAAAAACCAAATATTCGTCGAAACGTTAAATGCATACAAAACTCTTCTTTTTTATTTTTATTTTTTCTTTTTATTATTTTTATATAAAAAATCAAACAATACAATGAAAACAATAAAACACTCGCCTCATAATCTTTACAATGAACTAAAGTTCTTTTAACTTCACGAATATCGCATCATTTATATTACTAAACGTATGATGACATCATCTTCACATACAATACCATCAATCACCTGACAATACACCGCAGATCAAAAATACCCTTTTACATCTTTCTAACTTTACTCACATTAAATCTATCTAAAATTACCCTCTAATATAAGTAAACCCATTTTCAACTACACTCAACTTTACTAACATAACTATCAACATATTTATTAAAATAATCAATTGATATATTTATTTAAACTAAAAATAGTTAACAATCCAACTTGAAAATCACAAGCGGGTGACGAAGTCACCCGCATATCTAACATTGCTAGTTTATATATATTATACATTATCTAGTAAAAATATAATAATAACAAAAATTAATACTGTATTTAAATATATTTACTATATTTTTTTTTAAGAAATACTGTATTATATTCATAACACCGTGTTAACATAACACCCTATATAGTTAGATTAGGGTTAGGGTGCAGCTTTAAGATATATAGGAGTTTTTTATATAATATAATAAGGTCCAGATTTTAGTTCTTGTGAGTTTTTCAGGGTCCTGAACATTTTCTTACGATACCCGATCCCGAGATATAGCAATAGGGTGTTATAAATATAACTTTCCTTTTTTTTTAAATATATTTTTAAGAATATATATATATTTATCCGTGAAAACAAAGATATTTTATTCTAATAGCCATTATGCTCAAGGAAATGTAAAGTTGAATTTAGTAAACTAAAGGATAATAGTTGTGATGATGGAATATCGGATGGGTTGTCAGCCGCTTTCCATTGCGAGATAGCAGGTGGGTGAACATCGAATGAGTTG